TTACAGGTGTGCACTACCACGCCCAGGTAATTTTTGATTTAATGTAGAGATGAGGTCTCGCCAAGTTGCCCAGGCGGGTCTCGAACCCTCAGACTCAGGCAATTCACTCACCTCGGCCTCCCAAAGTGCTGAGATTATAGGCTGAGCTACCAAGCCCGCCCATAATTGTTTTTAAATTCATAGAATAAGTAGTGTTTCTCTCATGGGAAGAATGAATGAATAGACTTCTGGACTCTGAGGAGACTTAATATTGCAACACAGAATCAATCTGGCATTCCTGTTTTTTTAAGTCTTTGAACAACATCCTCTACATTATGCCAAGGAATTTCTGGCCTTATAATTAATAACAAGCCAGCATTTGGTACATTGGTCAGTTCAGTAAATTCTTAGAACCATGACAGGATACTCAGGCCACTTTGTTAATATATTTAGCATCCTCAAATTTCACTTCCATAAATGTCTCCAGATTTTTCTTAATCTATGCTATGTAACTTCTGCTAATTCTTCTAAGGTATATTCCTTGTCCTACTTTGACTTTGTACTTTTTATGGTCATCTTAAATTCAGTCTATTGATCCATGTACACAACAATGGAGTTGAGAAGTAAAATGAATTGTTAGCTTTTTCTACAGGCATATGTATGTACCTATAGAAACAGATGTTAACAGGTGGTATATCACAAGAATTTGGAAGTTCAGGATGTTCCAGAAGTATGAACAACATTTTTCCTATTCAATATCCTGTTACACAAGACTACACATACCTCACTTTGCTGAGGATACTGCCTGAATGCCTGTTGTCAAGGACCTGGTATAGTTAGGTACAGTGAGAGTAGGTTCACTCTCAGAAATGTCCCAGTTCGGACAATAAATAATGTGGTAACTGTATTAGTCATCTCAAACTGCCATAACAAAATACCACAGAATAAGTGGCTTAAACAACAGAAATTTACTCTCATAGTTCTGGAGACTAGAAGATCAAGATCAAGGTGCCAGCAGGGTTGATTCCTGGTGAGGCCTCTCTTCCTGGCTTGCAGATGGAAGCCTTCTTGCTGTGTCCTTATATTTTTCTCACGTGCATGTGTGGATAGACACAACTCTGGTGTTTCTCTTGTAAATAAACCAGTCCTGTCAGATTAGGACCCCACCTTTATGATCTAATTTGCCCTTAATTACTTCCTTAAAGGCTCTTTTTACAAATACAATCACTTTTGAGTTTAGGGCTTCAACATACAAATATCGGAGGACACAATTCAGAAGTAAATTCACAATTCAATTCACTTAACACTCACTCTACAGTAAAGCATGAAACTTAACCAGCATCCTACCTTAGCTATACATAAAATAGTTCCTAAATGTGGTTTTAAGCAATCTTAACCTTATACCGTCAAACAACATAAGACATCTTTCAAAAATATCATACAAACTCTCTTAATTTTTTGCCTTAAAACCAGAAGTTCAAGAGCTAAGTTTTAAATTATCCAATTAGATACCAGCATCATATACCCCTTTTGGACTTAGCACTCTTCATCCTCTTTAAATTGCCACTATCCAGGACCTTAGATCTCTAATAATTCCAGTGACTACAACTAGTAGTAATTCAGATGTGTGTTTGCCAATTGCACACGAGTTGTTACTTTCCTATGCTAGAAAATAAACAAGACCCTATTTTCTCCATCTCATTCAAATAGCAATCTCAAATACCTGATTTTCCAAAGATTCTATTTGCCTAGTACCTGCCCAATCTTCATACCAAATTCTGTATTTGTTAACTTTCTTTCATTGTAAATAACTGAACAATAGTAAGCAAAAATTAAGTACCAGAAAAATGAGTAGTTTGAGGAATTACCATCTTAGCACAAAAACCAGTGTGGTTCCAAAGATCACAACCACAAGAACACCTGCATCATCCTTTAGGGAGCTGCCTTTCATAATTCAGAGAGAATTTAATTGGCCAGGTCCATCAGAACCATACAATAGGGTATGTCCAGTTACTCAAAGGAAAAGATAACATAGTATAGCCAAAAGAAGGCAAGGGAAAATAGAGAAAACCAGATGCCTACTATAATATGTATTTTAATTTTTGATATAATTATTAGCTTATTCTGCAATACAGGTCTGTAGTTGTTCTCATTTAGTATAATAGCACAGATATCTTTCTATGGCTGTATATAAATTGATATGTATTTTTCATCAGCTGCATACATTCTATTGAATGAATACAGCATATTTAATTTACCCATTACCCTAACTGATGGACATGTAAGTTGTTTTTAATAGCCTATCATTAAAAAGTTTTTTGGGGGGGCATTCATATATTTACCTTCCTATGTACACCTTGGTTTCTAAGGAATACTGATTTAAATCATATACACATACAGCAATATATATATATAAAACTAGCAAACTAGCAATATAATTGTCTTGTTTTCCACACATTCACTGATACTGGATATTATCACTCAATTGATTAATCCATATCTTGGGGAAAAAGTATGTTGTCACTTTAATTTGCATTTTCTTGGTAGGTAGTAATACTGGGTGATTTTCATTAACTACTTTTATTTCATCTTCTGTGAACTGGTCATTAGGTTTATTTTTCTACCAAGTCACAGATGTTACTGTTATTGATTTGTAGTGGTACTTTGAATATCAGGGATTAAGATCCTTAGTAATATTTGTTGCAAACATTTTTTTCAGTTACTCATTATCTATCAAATACGTTTTCCACCACATAAATTTTATATACCCCAACATCAGCTTTTAAATACTTAAGGTCTTTTAAATACTTAAGGAAGGTCTGTTTCAAACCAAGGTTCTAGAAATATTGTTCTAAGCTTTCCATGTACTTCAAAATTTTACATCTTTTAAGCTTTTAGGCCATCATTAGTGTACAAAGTACAGATCTGTTTTTCCAGCAAGTTTAGCATCCCAATGCCATTTGATCAAACCATCATTTTACCACTGCAGTGAAAAATCCTTTTTATCATAAAGGGGCCTCAAAGCTCCACATGCTCTGAATAAGACTGCCCATCCTCTAGTCTCTATGCCTCCATCAGCAGGAGCTCAAAAGCTCCACTTTCTAGTAGTTATATGCTCTGGACAAAAGCTTCCCTCACATGATCTTCTGTCAGAGGTAGTAGTCAAGAAGGTGTCTAAAGAGCTCTGGGTGCTCCAGTTTAAAAAAAAAAAGTACCTCTTCAGGGGTGGAGGCAATTACTGAAGGACACGGGATTTCTTTTTGGAGTCATTAAAATGTTCTAAAATTGTGATGGTTGTATAACGCTGTGCATGTACTAAAAACCATTAAATTGCCCATTTTATGTAAAGCTTTAGGCTCCCTCTTCACTTCTGCTGATGAAGGAATAGAGGTTAGGAGATAGGTGATCTCCAAGATTATATGGCATGTAAATTATCACAGTAAAGCTGTTACCAAAAACAAACAAAAACCCTTCCAATAGCCTCTAAATCAATATTGCTAAGAGTGAACAGAACTTGTAGAAATTAATCTTTTTAAACTGCCAATTCCCCCTTCCTTCAACTCAGCATCACAAATCTTTGCCTCGAGACTATCATGACCATTCTCACTTTGCACTCTGTATATGTTATGTCTAATTATTCTCTCATCAATTGCCTCTACTGCCCGTGTGTCCTGAGGATAGCAAGCCACCTCCGGCTTGTCTTTCTAGGTCTTTTTATTTTTTTGAGTTGAGGTCTCACTCTGTTTCCCAGGCTGGAGTGCAGTGGTATATTCACAGCTCACCAAAGCCTTGACCTAGGCTCTTTCCTCCCGCCTCAGCCTCTCGAGTAGCTGAGACTATGGCACATGCCACCATACCTACTTAATTTTCTATGCTGTCTAGGCTGGTCTCTAACTCCTGAGCTCAAGCAATCTTCCCACCTTAGCCTCCCCAAATACTGGGATTATAGGCATAAGCCACTATGCCTGGAAAGATCGTTTCTCTTTATGGGATATATCATATATTTATCATAAAGTATGCACTCAATTTTTTTGTTCATCTTCTCCTACTACATCTGAGGGCAAAATCCTTTGCCCATTAGTACTTTGTTGTATCTCCAGCACCTAAAATGCATGTAGTACATTAGTAAATGCTCAATTAATACTAAATGAATGAGTACTACATTTCCAATATAAACATCCCTTGCTAAAATCATAATTCTACAGATGGCCAGAATCAGCTTTTCAACTAAAAAATACAGTTTTTATTGCCCTATCAATGAATTTACGAATTTAACTTAGGGAAGAAATTGTCTTTCTATACAGACATATATAGCCTATTTTTAATATATAAAAAATTAGTCTGTTTTAGCGTTTTAACTCATAAGCTAATTGTATATACTTCATTTTAGTTATGTCTTGTCAATCTTATGGAACAAGACAGAAAGTTTTCCTGCATTTTACTTTATGCTCTAGAACAATTTAAGTATCACAGGAATTGTCTGTTCTGTTCTTTTAAAAGATGAATATACTGAACTTCCTTTTTCAGTTTATTATATGGCTAGTAACCTGTTCATTTAAGTTGTCAACTCACCCCCCCCACCCCCCACCAGGAGGTTGTATGATGACAGAAAGTCCTCTATTTCCTAACTTGTTTTTAACACTATCCCTGCTAGTTCTACATTTTACCAAATGATTTTATCTAATCGGCTGACTCTCTTCTAAGCGTCAGATAGAGTTCTTCATCAACAATGCTGCATGTTCTTATAGTCATACAGAGGAAGTCCCCTTGTTCCCTCATGTATCATAAATCTAAGTTCTTTCATCTTTCCTACCCACTGGGAGAGTAGAGTCTTCCATCTGCTCTAAAATCTGTAGGTTTCTTAGTCTTAACCTACTGCTTCATTTTACTTGCTGCTTAACCTGAGTTTGTAAGGATACTTTTACCTTAATGGCTAGCATTTATTTAGCACTAACTATATGCCAAGAATTGTATGCTAAGCCCTTGAAATGGATTAACTGATATATTTTTCAAATCAAGTGTTTTAAATGGAAAAGTGACCTGAATATATTTTTATTTTTAGAAGATTAGGTTGGCTACAGTGTTAAAAACATACTTGAGAGGAGCAAGAGGGATGATACTTCAGACACCAAAATGAGATGTTTGCTTCTTGGACTGTGATGATTAGACATGAGCTGGAAAAAAGTGGATGAATTCTAGAGGCATTTAGAAGATTAATTCTATAAGACTTGGTGGTATGCAAGGGAGGGAGAGGGAATAATTGAGGCTGACTCTTCAGTATGAATTCGCTGATGGTGAGCAAGATGTATACTCTGCCTGAAGGTTTTTCCACAGTCTTTACATTCATAGGGCCTTTCCCCAGTGTGAATTCTCTTGTGTAGTGTAAGATGAGCAACCTGGCTGAAGGCTTTGTTACATTCCTTACACTCATAAGGTTTCTCTCCTGTATGGATTCTCTGATGTAGAGTAAGGGACTTGCGATGGCTAAAGGCTTTCCCACAAACATTGCACTCATAAGGTTTCTCGCCAGTATGACATCTTTGATGACAAATCAGGGATGCTCTCTGTCTGAATGACTTTCCACATTCAAGACATTCATATGGCCTTTTGCCAGTGTGAAGTCTCTGATGTTGAACAAGATATGAGCCATCACTAAAAGCCTTCCCACATTCAAAACATTCATAAGGTTTCTCACCAGTATGAACTCTCTGGTGTTGAACAAGGTGTGCAATTTGACTGAAGGCCTTACTACATTCCTTACATTCATATGGTTTTTCCCCAGTGTGTATTTTCTGATGTTGCACAAGGTGTGCATTCTGGCTGAAGGTTTTGCTACATTCCTTACATTCATAAGGTTTCTCTCCAGTATGAATTCTCTGATGATGAGCTAGGTGTGTGCTCTGCCGGAAAGTTTTCCCACATTCCTTACATTCATATGGTTTCTCTCCAGTATGAACTCTTTGATGAAGAGTAAGTGAGCCACGATGGCTAAAGGCTTTCTCACAGATATTACATTCGTAAGGTTTTTCTCCTGTATGAATTCTTTGATGAACTGTCAGGGATGAACCATGGCTAAAAGCCTTTCCACACACATTACATTTGTAAGGTCTCTCTCCAGTATGTACTCTCTTATGCTGAATAAGTCCTATGTGATCAGTGAAAGCCTTCCCACAATCAATACAGTCAAAGGGTTTCTCTCCAGTATGATAATACCGCCGATGACGTATAAGAGAAGCATTCTGCCTGAATGCTTTCCCACAATCAATACATTCATAGGGTCTTTTCCCAGTGTGAATCCTTCGATGATGAGCTAAGGATGAACAATCACTAAAAGCCTTCCCACATTCAATGCATTCATAAGGTTTCTCTCCAGTATGAACCCTCTGATGTTGAGCAAGGTGTGCAAGCTGGCTGAAAGCTTTATTACACTGCTTACATTGATAAGGTTTCTCTCCAGTATGAACTCTCTGATGTTGAACAAGATGAGCATTCTGGCTGAAGGCTTTCCCACATTCAGTACATTCAAAGGGTTTTTCTCCTGTGTGTATTCTCTGATGTTGAGCAAGGTGGGCACTCTGGCTAAAGGCCTTTCCACATTCTATACACTCATAGGGTTTCTCACCAGTATGAATTCTTTGGTGAAGAGTAAGGGATGAGATTTTGCTGAATGTTTTCTCACAATCACTACATTTTAAAAGTTTTTTGCCATATACTTGCTTGTGTTGTTTAACAGTTGAATGTGTTTTTAAGCTTTTCTTATCTGTATTGAAATTAAATATTCTCTCTTCTATGGGGAAAACATGTTTTACAAAAGATAACGTATTCAGGTGAAAAATTGTTCCAGTTTTGTTTGAGTGGTCTCTTTTCTCAGTAAGAGCATCTATATGAGTGATAGACTCTTGTCTAAAATGTGTCTTCTGATCTACTGGCTTCCTCTCAAATAGGTATTCACATTTCCAGTTTTCCCCTAATGTGGAACATTCAAGGTCATAGCTTGTCAGTCTTCGCATTACTATTCCCTGGGGTAAGTTTTCTTCATAAATATGCTGGTTTAGAGATAATTCCTTGGTCACCCAAACATACTCCAAATCTGAAAGATATTAAGAAAGCAAATGTTTCTTCATCAAATGCTAGAAAAATGGAAACTTTAAAAATGAGTATAGGCGACTCAAATAGTTACTGATGCTCACAAGGAGTAACATGATTTTAATAGTTCTTAGATTATGTGATACAACCATACTTGCATATTCCTGGAATAATCCTTCACTAGTCATGGTATATTATTTCAATTAAGATTTTACATAATTGTTATTTGTCTGTAATTTCCTTCTTTGGTGCTATTCTGGTAGATATTGGTATGAAATGTTATCCTGTCTTCATAAACATAAATTTTGTAAGATCTCCTTTTTATTGTCTGGACTGAAATAATTTAAACTACATTGGTGATATTTTTCCTTAAAGGTTTAATATAATTGATCTGTGAAACTATTTAGGGGTGTGGCTTCTTTTCTTGGGAGAAGCAGTAGATATACAATTTTCCTATGTTTCTTCAATGGTAACCTGTTTTATTAAATTTTCTATTTCTTCTGATGTCAGTTATCATATTTTACATTTTTATATTCTCCTAGAGTATCATCTATTTCATCCAGTTTTTCAAATTATTTACATAAACTTAAAAAGAATAAATTCACATGATTCTTTTAAATATTTACGGACTTGTGGTAATTTCATTTTTGTATTTTCTCATTTGTCCTGACAAATACACATCTTACAAAATATATGTTTTCTAAAGATGTACAGTACTTGATTTATTTTCATCATTAAATTTCATTATAAATTTTCATTATTAAATATTCCATTTCCTGATTCAATTACTCAATTTTTATTTCAAGAAGTATAAATCACCACACACAACTTATTTTGATTTTCCTTAAATTCATTTTGTTCTTTCTCTAATATAATGACTTGGATGCTTGTTTATTTATATTACTTCTTATTTACTAATGTGCATAGTTAGGGCCACAGTGACCTACCGACAACCCTCTTTCTGAAACTTTACGAACTGAAAGCAGAAACAGGTCACACTTCAGGCAACAGAATAAAGTGCAGCCATCTCATTTAAGGTTAATTTCCTTGGGAAAAAAAAATCTGAAGTCTCTTAAGCCAGAAAAATAGCTCTGAAGCAAGACAGGAAAATTAGAAAAAAATTTTGAATAAAATAAACTGGGCCAAGAATCCCAGCGTAAGTGAGGAAATGATGGACACAGGGGAAGAAGGTAATATCTGTTAGCAAATTTATTTTTTTCATGAGCTAATTTATTCATCTTTTATATGACTATCAAAAGATGATGTTCTGAATTTCAACTGGATAAATTTTAAAATACAGATTTGAAATTATATAAAGATATACAGGCAACAATTTGTAAAACTAAAAATCTTTCCAATTCAAGGGGTGGAGTTGGTAAAAGAGGAAAAACAAACATAATAAACAACAAAGCAAGAATAAATAACAAAAGAGAAAAGCTATTAAAGGGAGGGGGAATAATATAGCTATAATACATGTTAACACAATACATTCAGCTTTTAAAGAAACAAACACATTTAAGCCAGTTCAAAAAACTAAACACAAGTTTGACTAAAGAATTCAGAAATGTTTAAAGTCAGGGATGATTACAACAACATGGTGCTTGAGAAGAACTAGGCAAACATCAGCGGAACAATAGTTCAGAAATAGATTCAGAGAGAAAAACATAATAAGAATAGTTTTTCCATCTCTGAATACCTTGCACTCACCTGGGCATAGGCCTCTGGTCATCTCTCCTTTCGTCACCCAGGGCTCCTTCTCTTGTTCCAATAAGGAGATCATGTGTGGTTTAGAAATGCAAAGACCTGCATATAAAAAAGGACATAAAAACTGGCTATGCTGTAGGTATTCCAGAGCTACAGTCCAGTCCAAATGTTTTTGAGAAAAGAGAGACAATGTAGGAAAATTCTGATAAAGGTATGAAAGACTACTGAGTCATAAGGAAGTGGAAGGAAGATGACTCTTACCCACTGAAACCAGGTTCCTGTAGTTTTCCAACATCACCTTCCTGTACAAACTTCTCTGAGCAAGATTCAGCCATTCCCACTCATCTTGGGAGAAGTCTATGGCCACATCTGTGAAAGTCACTGAACCCTAAAATAACACAAATATAATCTTGCGTTCATGCCCCATCATGGCTCTAGCGTAAGAGCCACGTGTTCATGCCCCATCATGGCTCTAGCGTAAGAGCTTATGTCATTCTACTTAGTGATAAAAACATTGTACATAAGTAACTGAACTGAGGGTCGAAATGATCCATGTCAGGTAGTTTCTGGAAATTTTTACTGCCTAGTTATATTGTACATATTAGGAAAAAGAAAAACAGAAAAGAAAGTCTTTCCTCCTCAAACATTTCCAATTCTATGGTGGTGAGAATATATTCTCACATATAAAATTGTTGACTACATTCAAAACAGAATACAATAATCAAGTGCTAAATTATGTTATTTATGTGAGGAACTGAATCACTTCTCTACATGGAGAAATTAAAGAGCTCTGAGACTGTGAGAGAAAGTTTCAAGGAAGAATGCTGACCTGATGAACATGATTTCAATCTCCACAATATTTTCTAAGAAATCTTAGTGCTCTTGAGATGTTAAGAAGTATGCCTAAAAAATGAAAGAAAAAAAAACACCTAGAATAGTCTTTTCTTTGAAATAAAAATATATTTGTATTATGAGAACACATTTAAACGTTTTTTGATCATCTACTGAGAATTATCAGGAGAAATCATGTGATGTGAGCACATGTCAAGCAACATGTGCTTTGTTACATGAGCTACATTTCCTAACCAACCTGCAATGTGAGCCACTCCCATGGTTGCTGGCACATTTTTGGTTTAGTGATCTAATTTATATCAACATTGAAATAAAGAGTTTTAAATAAACACCAATCTTGAATGAAAATTTTTTTTTTTTTTTAAAGATCAGATTATTCCAAAGAACTGACTCTGGTACTGATTAGCTGGGTGATCCTGGCCAAGTTAATTCCCATGTGCATTAGCTTTCCCATCTGAAATATGGGAATAATTTTAGTAGCTACTTCATGTAGCACTGTGAAAATTAAATGAAGAAACAAGTATATAGTGCTTGGTACAAGGTCATTGCTGGAGAATTGCTGCCTATGATAAGGATGAAAAAGGAGGAAATGAAGAGAAGGAAGAAGAGGAGGCCAAGAAGAACAGGTAAAACATTTGGTTTAATATTTCAACAAAAGTTTTTGCATTTTATCTAACTACCACAATTATCATAAGCTTTCTGAATCCAGACTACCTATGTCCAAATACTGTTCTTCTCAGTAAGTCTAAGCTATTGGTTTTGTTTTCAAGCACTGAAGATATTTTAAAGAACTCAAGAGAACAGACCACTGTATTTACATTTAACCATTTATGTTGTACTCCCTGCACCTTGATATTCTAAGTTCTCTTTGGGCATCATTTCTATCTGAAAAACTTCCTCTAGCAATTATTTTAGAATTCTGGCAATGAATTCTTATTTTTTTCTTTCATATGAGCTTTATTTCACCTGAATTCCTGAAGGCTATTTTCACTAAACACAGAATTCTGAGTTTTCAGGGTTTTTTTGAGCACATATAAAAATTTGTTCTGCTTTCTTCTGGCTCCTATTTTAAATCACTGGGACTCTATATGTAATACGTCATTTTTACTCCAGCTGCTTTTTGAGGTTTCTTTCTTTTGTCTTTAGTTTTCAGCAGTTTTGATTATCAAGTTTCCAAGGGAGAGATTTCTTTCAGTGTATAATACAGGGGTTTGCAGAACTTCACAGATCCACAGGTTTATAAAATTCACTAAAGTTGGAAAATTTACAGCTATTATTTCTTCAAATATTTTTTTTCTACACTCCATTTTCTCCTCTTCTTTTCAAACATAATTGATACAAATGTCATATGATTTTGGTATTATACCACAGGACCCTGAGGACTTAATATTTTTTCTGTTGTTCATATTAGGTAATATACACTTATCTTCAAGTTCACTAACTCTTTCCTCTGTCATCTCCATTCTCCCATTAAGCACACTCACTGGGTTTATTTTGGCTATATTTTTCATTTCTTGTTTATATTTTCTATTTTTTGCTGAGACTTTCTATCTTTCCATTTACTTCAAGAGTGTTTAACTTTACTTGTTGGAGCATTTTATAGCAGCTGCTTTAAAAATCCTATGCATATTCCAACATCTGTGCCATATCAGTTAGTATTTGTTGTCTCTTCCCCTGTGAATTGAGAATTTCCTGCTTTTGGTACCCTGGACATTTTGCATACTATGCTATGAGATTCTGTGCCTTGTCTAAATCTTAAGGAGAATGTTGATATTTTGTTTAGGCTGCAAGTTTCAACCAGCCTTTTGTGAGTGGTGTTTCAACAATCAATTCTATTTTTAAGACCTTTGCGGTGATATTTGTCTGTCCCTGTCCTTCTTGTACACAACCCAGTACAAGGTCAGCCTGAGACCCTGAAAGTGATCTATCCCTTAGTTCACTTCTCAAAGACTGGTATGCTCTTTAGGATCAGATACACGCATGCATTGCTCGGAGTAAGTCCAGGAGTGCATAAACATGATGTGGTTGATTTCCAAAATCCTTCTCTCTCTGTTATCTCTCCAGCACTTTCCATTACCTAAGACTCCCTTTTTCCATCCTCTAGCCAGATAACTGGAGCTTATTTATCCCATTCCACTCTACATGTCCCATGACTGTACCCACTCAAGGGGCCAAGCAGGGAATGGACAAAATTACACAAAAAAAGCCAAGCAGGTTTTACCTCACTCTCTTGGAAACATAGACTCTCTGATCAGAGAGGAAATTTATCGTCCCTCAGAGTGTTAGACTAATGCAGACCCCCCCATTGCCAATGCCAGGACATGAAAAATATAATAAACTTTTTAAAAAGATGATTTCTTCTCTTTCTCTCTGAGCACTAGATCCTTTCCTCACTCCATGAGTAAGAACTACGAGGCACCTCCTGCTGCTCTTTCTGTCCATACCAATACTCGCTTCAGAGTTTTGGGCGTATTGAATCCATGCTAGGAGATAATGGGGAGACAAACTGTAAATACACCAGTGTGGTGGTACTTCAAATTCTGGACTTTCAAAATTTAAATCGGCCTGCTACTATTCATTTTCAGAGACTTCATGTTGCTGCTCCAGGCATACTGTCTTGGTTTTACAGCAGTTTTTAGTAGAAAAGACAGGGTGAAGTGTTCTTAGTCCATCTTACCCAGAACCAGGATCCTTTCAAGTTCAGTATGAATTATTTTTAAAATTATTATTAGACTGGAAATAAAAAGAATCCTGACGTTCGGTGTTTCCTGTGCAGCAGATTATATATATTATATTGCAGTTCTTTAACTTATATATTTGTATACACATACTCACATGAAGAATTTAGTTCTTCAACAATAAGCAAATGCCAGAGAGGACCCCAAAACCCTGGAATTTATTTATAAGAAAGTGTGTATTTATTCTTACAAATTTAAACTTCAGTCACCTTCAAAGTACTCTCTATTTGATGCAGTACACCTACAAAGATACTTTTTCCACTGCTCCAAAGTTTTTGAGCTCATCAATTTTGTTGCCTTTTAGTGCTTCTGTCATTTTTTGTTTCACCTCTTGCACAAAGTTTCCCTCTGAGAACTTTTTTTCACCCAGAGAAACAAAAAAAGTTATCAGAGTGAGATTGAGTGAGTAGGGAGGGTGGGGCTTTGGTGTCATATCATTTTTGGTCAAAATCTGCTGAACACTCAGTGTGGTGTGGGCAGGTGTGTTGTCATTGTGGAAGAACCAGTAACCTGTTTGTCGCAACTCAGGGCATTTCTTATGCAAATCATGATACACAATGCTAGCTGGTACACCAATGCCAGTGGGTTCCTAGAACACTTAACTAGCAGGAGAAGCTGTATTAGAAGGGACACACCTTCAGAAAGATAATTCTGGGGTTTTTTTGGGAGGGTACCCTCTCAAAGTAGCTTATATAGCTAATTTTTATATAGCACTTACAATATACTAGGTACTTTTCTAAGTACTAAAAATACATTAACTCATAATGCTCACAACAGTCCTATAAATTAGGTACCATAATTACCCCCATTTTAAGGTTGAGGAAATGGAAATTAACTAATTGAAATTAAAGCAATATATCTAGTATATGGTGAAGCTAGAATCTGTACCCAGGCAGTCTAGTTCCAGAGTCCATAGTATTAACCTTTAAGCCATACTCTGCCACTCTTAAAATAGTTTTCTCTGGCAAATGACAATAATGCTTTTGTTTAAAATGTTTAACTTCTCTAAGAAACAAGTTCTATTGGTAGTGCACATTCTGTGGCATCATACCTAAGAAAAGATGTTGTGCTAGTGCTATAAGTTGTTGTTTTTGATATAAAATAAAAAACAATTTAACTACTTCAAGTTTGTTTGGTTTTGTTTTTTTTTCTTTTTGAGTCGGAGTCTCACTCTGTTGCCCAGGCTGGAGTACAGTGGCACATCCATGACCACCCCACCGTAAACCTGCTGGGTTCTAGTTATTCGTCTGCCTCGGCCTTCCAAGTAGCTGAGACTACAGGCACACACTACCATGTCCAGCTGATTTTTGATTTATTGTAGAGACGAGGTCTCCACCAAGTTGCCCAGGCTGGTCTCGGACCCGCAGGCTCAGGCAATCCACGCACCTCAGCCTCCCAAAGTGCTGGGATTATAGGCTGAGTCATTGAGCCTGGCCTCAAGTTATTTTTATTTGAACAACTTTTTATGTATATAAATTGAATTTGATAATTTCTTCTAATAATCAATTGGCTGATGAAACTAGGTTAGCAGTTTACTTTAAATAGAACATAAATTATAGTTCTTTAGCTTCTATTGTTGGTCATAAAAATATTAAAATTAAAATGTTCAGGAGTCGTGTCAGTTTGTGAAACTCTATACACAAGAAATGAAAACTAGGAATTAGTTTAAAAAAATAATCAGAGATGAGGGTGAAAACTCAACTATAAGGATGATCGCTGCAACACTATTTTATTCTATATTTTGAGTTGGAGTCTTACTTTGCTGCCCAGGCTGGAATGCAGTGGCACGCTCATAGCTCACCACACCCTTGACCTCCTGGGCTCAGGTGATCCTTCTGCCTCATTCTCTTGAGTAGCTGAGACTACAGGTGCACACCATCACACCTGGCTAATTTTTTTATTTTTGTAGAGACGAGATCTCGCCAAGTTACCCAGGCTGGTCTCGAACCCCTGGGCTCAGGCAATCCTCTTGCCTCCACCTCCTAAAGTGCTAGGATTACATGTACGAGCCACCGTGCCTGGCCAATGCTCTCTTTTATACAGCAAAGCACTGGTAGTAATTTACCTGTGGAACAAGGGGCTGATTAAATAGATTATGGCATTCATCCTAAAAAGAAAAAAACGTACAACATTCCCTGACACATTTTAAGATGCTCATGACTCCATGGTCAAGTGGGAAGGGAAATCTTTGCATATTCTGGCCAGAATGTCACCCATATCACCAGTGCCTGCAGATCTCCTTCACTTACTTCAAGATGCAACTCAGGAATCAGTTCCTCTATGATGTCTCCCTGCCCTTACTTCCCTCAACAAAGAGTATGATTGTGCAAGCTATTTCCTGCACAAGGATCCCTAGCTAAAGAGGCAAAAAGGAGCTGCAATAAGGCAGACTTCCTCTTGCCAGATTGCATGACCTATCATAAGCTTCCTCAGTGGAGTGGGAGAGACATTTTTTTTTTCTAATTTACTGAAAGGCACCAGATTAACTATTAATGACACATTCCTACTGTTCCACAGTGAGTTTACTCTCCACCTCTAATCTCAGCACTTACCACACTATGGAAGTGTATACTGCCTTTTCATTTATCTAACAAATTATACACTCTCTGAGAACCAGGACTGGGATTGAGAGACTAGGCACACAGTGGCTCTCAACTTTCCTTCAGGGACTGTACTTTGCTTTGTTAGATACTTCTGAAAAGAATGAGCATAAGGGAAGGACTCAAATTGTGTCTTGTTAAATAAAAAATAAACACTGAGTAGGAAAAAGAAGAGAAACTCTAAGAGCACACTGGGCTGTCTGAGTCCATTCCTCACTCGCAGTCCCATCTTTCAAGAGAAAAGGAGGAAACAGGAAACAGGCCAGCGGGTGGAACTCTGATAAGGCAACTTTCAGGAGAAAACAACCATTACCAAATTCTGAAAAGACTGTATTGTAGTGGGAAGAGAGGAAGTACCAACTCACCAGGGACATGGCTTTAAGAAACTCAATTCCTGTCACCTCCACCTCTTCCTGACTCTTCATCTAGAAAAAAGTTTTACTCTGAGAACGCAGAGCTGGGGGAGGATAAAGGAGTAGTAAGAAACCAAGTAGCACTAAATAATCACAGTCTAGAAACCCTCTTTTCCCTATATCTCTCTGTCCTCACTCACTATTACCAACCTCCACCCCAGCCCCCACAATACAGACACTCACTTGGAGATCTGCAATCTAACAGTTGGAGCTCCTCTCTGCTCTGGGTTTTCAAGCTAAGCACAGTATCTCTCGCCTCCCCATCAGCCTTCTGCCACTCATTCATTAATAACAGAGATGTATTAGGTGTGCTGCTGCATATATTAATACTCTTTTAATCTTCACAATCTCAGAGAAAGTAGGGGATATTGTTACCATTTTACACATGAAAGCTGAGAAGTGAATTCTTTTGCACAAGTCATACAGTTCATAAATAAAACCCACCTATCTAAGTCTGCCTGACTCCACCACCCAAGTTATTTGCTCAAGCAGGTACCAGCAAATAACAGAAAATATACCCTTTGTGCAACCAGCCAGGATTTGTGAAGATTTTATGAGACAAATTACTTGGAGAATGTCATCTGCCCCAGGGAAAGGCATTACCTTTGTTACAACAAAGTCCATGTGGCTTGCAGATATAACTGGACCAAATAAATCGTCACAAGACCCACATTCTCATTTTGCTTTGACAAACTATAGTTTTGAATAAGTCCCTTGATCGTCTGATCCATGTTTCTTTAATCAGAAAGATGATAAGGTATCTGAATTAATTCTGGTTTTCTTCCTCTAAACTCTACTGCTTTCTCAATGAATTGTTATAACAATGATATGAATAAACACTTACTGAACACTTGAATATGTGGCAGGGACTATATCAAGTTCTTTACATGTGTGAGCTCATTCAATACTTATGACAGTCCTATGAGGTGTACAACATTATCATCTACACTTGACATCAAAACTGAAAGTCATAAAGTTTAAGAAAAAAACCAGATCTGCTCAGTGGTGGTTTTGGGATATGAACTCTTGAAATTATTTCTTCAACTCAGAGTCATTTTCTTCCACTGAGAAAAGTAGTTAAGAATACCTACCATAGGCAGTTGTTGCAGGGATTACATGACAATCAGTAAGGATAGGGACTCTGGAGTCAGCCTGTTTTTAATCTGAATCCTGGCTCTTTCAATGACTAGTGATTACTTGTCCTCTCTATTCTTCAGTCTTTCATTAAGTGTTCTCAACTGTAAACAGAAGATAAGGTAGTTAGTTCCTACTTCTTAATGTTGTGAAGTTTGGGGTTAATACTCCCAAAAGGTCTTAGAACTGTGTCTGGCACACGGTGAGCGCTCATTAAACATTAGCTATTCTTATTACTGCACACATGAAGTAAAACAAGCAAATAACAATATGGCTATAAGCAGAAATTCTTTCCCTTCTCATTCTTTAATTATTGGGGGAAGGTAAGGGAGAAGAGAGTGAAGTTCAAGGAACGGGAATATTCTCTTTCACTGACTAGAAGATGACAAAGCCATAAAAAGGCTGGAATCCCTCAGCATTTCTAGATGAAGCTGTGAATCTCGCCTTCTTCCCAAGTCCCATCCCACAGTGATAAATGGCACAAGGCCCTGATGGGTAAAAACCTAAATACTGAGTTTCTCCTTGAAGAGAAGTAGAGCACCCAGAGATAAAGTTATAACGGGGAACGCTCTCTCCCCTGTGTCCTTGGTGACACCCCAAGGACCTGGAAGGGGAGATGTCTGGTTAGGTGATTCTGGGCAAGTCCCCAAACCTAGCTCCACACCATGCTTCCAGTGACCCGCCAAATCTTTGACAGGGTCTAACAGTCTTCTAGACCAGGGACAAGCTCCCAGCACCTGGACCCCGCAGGACAGCATCCCAAACCTCCATTTTCACTACTGCAGCCGCACCCAGGCCATCTGTCACTCTTACCTCTGTCACGAGTCCCCATGACCTTTGCTCCTCGCTGTCCCACGGGTGTGGGGACGCGTTCTGAGCCCAGTCCTTTCCAGACAGGACTCCGGAGCTTTCTCCACAGTGAGCTCTATGAAGTTGACAGGGGGCGGGTGAGTCTCCCCAGGAGGGTTCCCTGCTCTCTGCCCTTTGGAATCTTCCCCCCACACCCCCACACGGTGCGTGCCCGGGCGCGGGCGCGCAGTCACACGCCCCGGCCCCCACGCAGTCGGCCCATCCCCGTCAGCCCCGCACCCCACACGCACCACGCAGCCACACCGTCGCCGGCCGCACAGCACGCCGACCCCACAGCGCCTCCGCGGACCCGGGTCCAGCCTCGGCCGCCTTTCCCTCAGCACCGGGCCGGATGCGCGCTCTCCCAACGGCAAGTTCTCTCCGGAAGTGGGCGTGTTCCCGCGCCGCAGAAGCCCCCTGGGAAATGCAGTCCCGAAGGGCGGCGGTGTCCGGAAGTCGGGCGCCGAGGCTGCCAGGGGCGACTGTTCTCGAGGCCTGTGGTCCCCGCCCTGTGCTCCCGAAGAGGCCTCTTCTGGTCCTCCTGGTCCCGAAGAGTGCCCCCGGAAGCCTCTCCGCCCCGAGTCTGGGTTCATGAACTATAGACCACCAAATGAAGCGAACGCACCCCGGGGGCTTCTGGGAGCCGTCGACAGGCTCTCAGTGCGCAGGCGCAACTGTCAGGCTCTGCCTGCTGGGATCTGGGTCTGGGCTCGCCCGCCAGTTGGTGGGCGGGGCATGAGGAGGCGAGAAGCGCGCAGGCTGGACAACGTTTAAAAGCGGGACAACGTAGCCGGGCTCGGTGGCTCAGCCTGTAATCCCGCGCCTGTGGGAGGCTGAGGTGAGTGGATTGCCTGAGCCTGCGGGTTCGTGACCCGCCTGGGCAGCGAGACCTCATCTCTACAATAAATAAAAAAATCAGCCGGGCGTGGTGGCGCATGCCTGTAATTCCGGCTACTTGGAAGGCTGAGGCGGAGGGATCGCCGGAGCCCAGCAGGTCGAGGCTGCGGCGGCCGGGAACGGCTCCAGTCTGGGCGACAGAGTGAGACTCCAACTCAAAAAAAAAAAAAAAGGCGGGACAACGTTTAAAAGCGGTGGATGGTGAGGCGGCTTCCTTCGGGAGAGAGGAAAGCCAAGTTAGAGTCGCTCATACTCAGTTATCTGTCACAGAAACAAAGAACAGAGTACGATATGTTTTCACTCATAAGCGGAACTTGAACAATTATAATACTATAAAAAAGCGATTGGCAGTTGAGGGAAACTGCCAAGGGAGGGAGGGGCACACCTCATCAACAAGGGCACCTGCATAACAAACATTTGTATACCTAACTCTGAGTTGTACCCCACATCATTTAAAAAAAAAAAAAAAGCAGTGGAGGGTGAGGCGGCTTCCTTTAGGAGACAGGAAAGCCAAGGTGAGTGGGCACGGCTTGGGTGGGACTTAGGAAGGCTGGGCAGGGTCTGCGGAAAGAAAAGCGAAAAGATTTGGTGATTTTTTTTTTTTGAATCAGGATCTCACTCCTTTATCCAGACGGTTCACAGCAGCCTGGACCTCCTGGGCTCAGGCAATCCTCCTGCCTCAGCCTGCCTAGTGGCCAGGACCACTGGCGTTCACCACCACATGCCTTGTGATTTGTGCACTTGCAACTTTCTGATGGTGTGCCTGTGTAACCTGTTTTATTTCAGGACTACCAGTTATCACTCTCTGATATAATCTACTCCCCTCACCACCGATCCTCATTTTGTCTCTCCTGGCTTGAATGAGAATTCTGTGAATATCTGTTCAGAATTATATTCTTGGTGACTAAAAGAGTTTGCACATAGTAGATGCTCAGTAAAAAAAAATTTTTTTAATCACTAAATTTAGCATTAGCAGTCTCACTATGACACAGCATGTCATAGTGAATGCTGAATGTGTCCTCCCAAAATCCATATGTTGAAGCCCTAACTCCCAATGTGATATATTGGGAGGTGGCCTTTAGAAGGTATTGGGTTTAGATTAGGTCATAAAGGTAGGACCCTCATGATAGGATTAGTGCCTCTATAAGAAGAAGGAAATGCCCCCATGCTCATGGCCCCAACAAGAAAAGGCCTTGTGAACACACAGCAGGTTGGAAACTACCTGTAGGCCAAGAGGGCCCTCGCCAAGAACCGAATGCACCATCACTCTGCTTTCCCAGCCTACAGAACTGTGAAAAATAGTCTGTTGTTTAAACCACAACCAGGTATATACAACTGGGTGCCCAAATACAGTATTTTGTTGTAGCAGCCCCAGCTGACCAAGAGCATCACAGATACTGGCCGATCACATATCACCTGAAATTAAATCACTCTCTTAAACACACTCAGTCACTCAAGGCCTCAAGGGCACATAGTCACACCTACACTCAGGCTTCTCTGGACCCCAAATCCCTCAGAGTTCATAGACTCCATGATGAAATTAAGACTGTCTTTCTCTAAGGAAATACAAATAACAGCTTAGTGTTTGTAACATTTTGTGGCTATTTGAATTGGATAAAAATGATATTAACACTCTTGTTTTAGTTATGACATCTAAAGAGCTTAGAAGCCTTCACTCCCATCCTCACAACAAGAAAATCATTCAACAAACTGAACTTAGATCCATCAGAGAATTCATGATACAAAGGAAACTGCCAGTCTGAAATCTAGAGACAGGCAGATACATAAAATATATAAAATCACAGCCAAGATCAGCTTACCTGAAAGCAGAAGTCACTGGAGTCATAAACTGGTAGAAACTTTTGTAAGGCAAGTATGGAGAAAAAAAGAATGAGCAAGTGGTTAGGCAAAGAGAAAAAGATTTATTAGAGGGAAAGGAAAGAAAGACTGGCCCATGGGAAGAACCAGCAGCTTGTTCTTTTGGCGGGTCCCTCTTATACCCCCTAGCTGGGGTCTGGTGATCACCTAGCACACGTAGTCCTGAGAAAGCAGGTGCTGGTGGTCATACAGTCCTGAGACGTGGCATTGAGGAAGCAGGTTGCTGCTAGTGGTCACGTAACCTTGAGAACGCAGGTGTTGGCAGCAAAAACAAGACATCGCTTAAGCAAGCAAAGAAGGAGTGGGAAGGGGTGAGTGGGGGTTGTAAATTTGATGAACTGCTGAAGGCTTAGTGTGCACTAACTTGGGAGTTCAAACTCCTAGAGGCCTAGTCTTGGATTGACCCCCACAGTTTTATGAATTTTTACCTCTGGGAACCCCATCAGGTTCTGACAGTGTTGAATGGAGGAAAATCTCATGTTTGAGGGAGAGGGAAATGGTGACTAGAGCATTCTTCATAACAAATGCCTGCCCCAAGGAAAACTGCTTACTAAAGTCTTATTGGACCTGAGGGAGAGGCAATTGACCATTTGCAGCCCAACTTATAGCTTTGCTGTGTCAATAAGGGCAGGATTTACAAAAAGATTAAGAAGTGCTTCAGAAGATTACAGCCCAAGGACTCAAGCCCACTAGAAAAGATTGTAGAATGCTTCCCCTCCCCACCACCTCACTACCATACTCATGAGTCTCTGGTATAATAGTGTAGTACAACTGAGAAACCTGAAAGGCACAGACTATATTTAAGAAGTTCTTAGGGAAGCCCAAAGAAGGAGAAAAAGAAAAAAAAAACATGAAAACTAGAGGAAACTGAAACTTCAAGCACCTACAGCTGCAGCAGTTATTAAATAAAGCCCAGCTTCTAGTCAGAACAACATAAAACTAGAGGCAACTGAAACTTCAAGCACCTACAGCTATAGCAGTTATTAAACAAAGCCCAGCTCCTAGTCAGGACAACACAAAACATCACCCTAAAAGCCAATTCCCCTCAGTTTCTATTACCTAGTACATAATGTACAGCTTTCAACAAAAAATAACAAGGCATACTAATGAGCAAGAAAAATACAGTCTAAGAAAACAAAGCAAGTATCAGAGTCAGACTCAGACACAGCAGAGATTTTGGAATCATCAGACCAGGAATGTAAAATAACTATAATTAATATATTAAGGTCGCTTAAGAAAAAGTAACCAATATGCAAAAACAGATGGGTAATATAAGCAGAGAGAAGCAAACTGTAAGAAAAAATCAAAAGGAAATACTAGAAATAGAAGAAAACATAAATGAAGACTGCCTTTGATGGGCTCACCTATAGACTGGAACATTAAGAACTGAATGAGTGAGCTTGAGGATACAGAAATTTCTGGCTGAGTGTGATGGCTCATACCTGAGTCCAGCACTTTGGAAGGCCAAGGCAGGAGTATTGCTTGAGGCCAGTTTGGGCAAAATAGCAAGACCTTACCTCAACAACAAGAGAATTTTCTTTTAATGTTGAAAAATCTTTACTGGGAAGTCTAAAATGACAGTGTGATAAATGGAATAGCTAGGCTGTATAGGAAAGGACTCGGAAAACCCCCTTCTGCAGCTTTCCAACACCTATGACCCCATTTATATGCATCTTTTTCCCCCTCAGACCTTAACTTCAGCTGGAATTAAGCAGAAAGCATGGTTTACTTTGTTTTCTTTGGATCATTCTTGTGCTCCAGACAAAGTGCTGGATCTTTAAAACAAGAAGGCTACTGGTAATAATACCTGAGGGAAAAACAAAGCTGCAGGTGAAAAGGTTTCTTAGACACAGTATCCCCTTACTCCTAGCAAGAATTTTTTTTAATTAGCCAGGCATGGTGATACACTTTGGTAGTCCCGGCTACTCAGGAGGCTGAGGTGGGAAGATCTCTTGAGCCCAGGAGGTTGAGGCTTCAGTGAGCTGTGATTACACCACTGCACTCCAGCCTGAATGACAGCAAGATCCTGTTCCAAAAACAAACAACAACAACAAAAACTGAGACCAAAAAGAAATTTCCCAAACCTAAAGAGAAAAAAAGAATAAAAAAGGAAAGAAAGAAAACCAGAACAGAATATCAAAAACAATGAGACAATTACAAAAGGTGAAATAGAGATATGATTGAAATATCAGAAGGAGGAGAAAGAGAGAAAGGAGAAAAAAATATTTGAATCAACAATGCCTGAGAATTTTCTAATGTTAATCACCAAACCACAAGTCCCAGAAGGTCA